AGATATAGATATAGATATAGATATAGATATAGATATAGATCTCGCTCTCGCTCTCGCTCTCGCTCTCGCTCTCGCATCTCGCTCTCGCTCTCGCTCTCGCTCTCGCTCTCGCTCTCGCTCTCGCTCTCGCTCTCGCTCTCGCTCTCGCTCTCGCTCTCGCTCTCGCTCTCGCTCTCGCTCTCGCTCTCGCTCTCGCTCTCGCTCTCGCTCTCGCTCTCGCTCTCGCTCTCGCTCTCGCTCTCGCTCTCGCTCTCGCTCTCGCTCTCGCTCTCGCTCTCGCTCTCGCTCTCGCTCTCGCTCTCGCTCTCGCTCTCGCTCTCGCTCTCGCTCTCGCTCTCGCTCTCGCTCTCGCTCTAGCTCCCTCTCCCTATCCAGCTCCTATACCAGATACAGATACAGATACAGATACAGATACAGATACAGATATAGATATAGATATAGATATAGATACAGATACAGATACAGATATAGATGTAGATATAGAGATTCCACCCACATGCCTTTGGCACGGGCGCTTCCTCAATTTGCCTCACGTGGCTAAATTGGGGCCGAGCTTTGGGCTGGAATAGCTAATAAATTGCAATAAATGTTGCATGAGATGCAAATTAGATGCATATGGAGCGAGCTAAGGAGCTGTTTCGGTGACAAAAGTGAAGAAACATGGAACATTTGCTAATCCGCACAAATTAAATGCAATTGAAATAAATTTCGCATGGGCCCAGAAATTGGCAGACTTCTTACCCTGGACGGAGGAGGGGGCATTGGCTGGGGGCAGGGAGGTGGGGCATGCAACAAGCGTGCCAATTGCATAAATTTATTGGCAACGAATTCCGAGACGAGCCACAGGTCGCCATGCATCAGCAACAGCAGCATAGTCCAGTGCCCAGCCCCATTCCCATGCTCCACCCCCAACCCTCAACCACCAGTCGCATCTCGTTTCGCTTGGCTGCAACGGTTCAAAGTGTTAATTGTCGCATAAATTTCGATAATTGAGGCAAATTGTTGCCGGCTGCCCCGTTCCCAAGGATTGTCTTGAATATGACAATTGCTCTAAAGTTAACATACCTATGCCTATAGCTCTCATAAATCTGCCAGCAGGTATACAAAAAGCAACATGCTACCGGCTGTGTCTAATCAAGGCGTAACTGTATACCAAATCTGATAGCTGCAGCTCGTGTAATCTTCGAGTTATGCTTGAAAAGGTGAGCTGTAAAATCTAGATTTAAACCGATTTGTCAAGTGTTTGACGTGTGTGCATATATATTTTAAGTTGAAAGTCTAGTTCCTGAGACCAAAGCATATCTAGTCCGACAAAGGGCGAAACGATAAAAGGCCTGGGCTAGACTGGGTTTCAATTTAAGCTCACATTACTTTTGAGCTGCCTTAAACAAAGACTTAAATCTGACTTAGATTCTTTATACTCGTTCAAGAAGTCATAAGAGCATATTGGTTTTGCGTTGCCTTGAAATTTGCATCTATATTCTCTCTGCTAAGCTCAGCTCATGCTAATGCTAAGATTCTTTGGCTACATCGCGTGGCAAAACTATATTTATTCAAGCGATATCTGTTATTGAGAGTCTTGATAAAGTCGTGTGGGCAACACCCGACTAAAAACCTATATAAAACTTGTATATAGACTGCATGTCTTCACCTCCTCCAGCTAAGAGTTCAGCCACTGCGGATCCCTCTTGAGAGAAAGTTTTTGCTGGATCTAAATTCGAAGTGATCCACTCTTGGGGAATTTCCTCTAGCCTATTTTTGATTACGGTCCAAATGCAAAATTCATATTCTTAGCAACTCTAGAGTCTAAGAGGAAACTTCCAAATCTAAACTTGCAAACACATTAAGTATTTAGAAGGACGTTAGCTTACCAAAAATTAATCGAATCTCTTTTGTTTAGACTTTTTTGGTATTTAAATTTGAATGAAATTTGATAACCCTTCACTCGAAAGAGTAGCCTAAGCTTAGTCTATATTAATCAATATATCCTTGCAGCTTGTTGAGCAATTCCAATATGTTTCAGAGACTTCACACTTCTTATCATTCTTCAGAGTCTTGCCTTAATTTCTGGCTTTGTTTGGTTATCTCGGTTGGCTATCTCTATATGGATATGGCCAAAAAGACAGCTCGAAGAGCAGAGAAACCTGTCATACCAGTAAGCTGGTTCTTTGGCGACGAACACGAAATTGTTAACGGTCATTCACCAGTTGAGAAGCAGGGAGAAGAGTTTGGGTAGGCGAGAGACAGAGACGCAGACATAGACAGAGCGAGTGAGGGAGAGAGAGAGCGAGAAGCAGAGTGAACTGAAGCGAAGCGAGAAGCCAAACAATACCAAAAGAAAACAATGCCCAGGTCTACACAATTATTTATTGTACGATCTGCTGCTGCTGCTTCTTCTTCGTTTCGTTTCTTTTGACTGGAATTTTTGTTCGATTCGAAAAACAAGAATTTTTGGAGAATCAAAAAGCGAATCACTTGATATGCAAAGCAGAACAAAGGAATAAAGCACAAGACGTGTCTAAATAGCATTTTGTGACATATTCAGTTGACTTCAATGCCCCCGACCCAACAGCAATCGAGTCACAAAATAACCTTTGAGCATGTTCTCTTTTTTTTTATTTATATATATTTTTGCATTGATTCCATTTCGAAAGTCTGATATTATGTAAATGGCTGGCATTAAGATTTAAATACTCTATTTCCATGGTGCGGCTATGATGACATTTACATAGCATTAGCTCCATATGTGCCCACTGAACTGAGCTCTCACTGAAGCTAGCTCCAAGAAACTTGAGCCAGCTGCTGCTGTTGAGTTCATATGCGATATATATCGAGCTGAACTGCATTGGTTTCGTTTAACTAGATGATATAGTAGGGGCAGTCATGATGTGAGCACTAAGAACTCCATATGTGCCCACTGAACTGAGCTCTCACTGAAGCTAGCTGCAAGAAACTTGAGCCAGCTGCTGCTGTTGAGTTCATATGCGATATATATCGTTTTGAACTGCATTGGTTTAGCTTAACTAGATGATATAGTAGAGGCAGGCATAGTCAAAGGATGGCTTAAGGGTTTATAAGAAAAGTTGGTTGAAACAATAGAAATAGAAATAGATTTTTGAGTTATATATTTTTTATATAAAGCTCACAAATTTTTTCTTTAGAATTTCAATCAATTTTGTTGGAAATTTAGCTTTATATAGTTGAGAAAAAAAGATTGCTCAGACTATGATCGCTTAGCTAGGCAGTGTATTCGCGCTTTTGGCATTCGTTCCATTTAGTTTTTATTTTACTATTAGCTCAACTACTTAAGGCGACAGCAAACACATGTTGGCTGACAGCAGCGCAGAAGGCGACGCGCTGCAGGTGACCAGGAGGCGGGGCTTCCAAGTCGACTCGTTGGCATTGACCGCAAAAAAGCAAATACTAAAAAATTGTATAAATAAATAAAAAAGCAAAAATTAAAAAAGAAAAAAGAACAGCGAAAAAAAAGCATTAGAAACGCAAAAATCTGAAATAAAATATCAGCTAATTGGCAGCAGCTCAGGTTGAGCAGGTGTCATAACTAACCGACCCAGGCAAACGAATATGGCGTGCCGCGTCTTAGCCACTACAAATTGACAACGTAGACCAAATAAGTACAGCGTTCGACGACATAGCTCAGGATCTGTTCCAATGACCAAATCAACGCTCTCAGCTTGCTAAACTAGGGCTTCGTATTATTTACCGATATAAGTGCGCTCTGATGTCATTAAATACATCGTCAGCACAACTCTGCAGCTTAACTGTAGTATTTGCCAAGCTGCGATCTGGTTGAACTCAGAGCATATCTGTTGATAACTCAGCTTCTGTTGGACTGAATTGAATCAAATTTGATATGTGATTCAGTTGAAGCATTTGCTAAGACAAAATTAAGAATGTGTTTTCGGGCATGCTGTGATGGCTATGATATCTGATAATCAGTCAGGAGCTGTAGAACTATATTTGAAAAAATGTTTGATATGTAAATTAGGTAAAAGATTTACTAAAAAATAAAGAATATTTATTCAGCTTTGATGTATTAGCTGTGGTAGGTGATAACTGCTGCTTCAACTGAAGAGAAACATTAGAGACGAGTTTTCACTGTAGTCTACAAGCTGTCACTGCTGATCTCTAAGAAGCTCTAGCAAACAAAGTTTCCTCAGACTTGAATTAATTCAGACTTGGACTAGCTGAATACGGCTTAGATAATAAGATATATGCCGTGTATAAGATATATTCAGCTCAAGGGTATTTGGTTTCGAGACAATTTTGATTGGCTTGAGGCAGTGTTACGCACTTGATGATATCTCAGGATCCTATGAAGTGAATGTATTCAAAATGCATTTAAGCTTCAATGGAATCATTTGCTTGGAGCAAATGATTTGCTTTTTATTGGGTTCCACATAAACGTCCAAGTAAAGGCAAATGAACTGTAGGCAAAGCTTTCGAAGTTTCTTTGTTGCTTTGAACGTGACTGTGCCATGCAATACCCTGTCCCAATGAGATATGACCGAACGCTAGATCTCCGAAAAGCCACAGCTGCTGGCCACATTTGGCCACGCCCGCGGCGTTGCGTGTCAATTGAAAGTGGGTCAGGCCCGACCGCAGTCAAGAGTGCTCCGCCGACCAGTGTCAAATGCAAAGTCAAGATAAAGTCAAGCCATAGCTGAGCGACTTGACGGCTGACAATAAACTTGAAGGTGGGCTGCTTAACTGTTTCAGCAACTGCCACGCCCACGCAGTTGGCTTGGGGTGGCGCGACTTGGACAGGTTTGAAGAGCTCTTTCCCATTTCTAAACCTGTTCGCATTTTCGAATTTGAATATTGAAATTTGTGCTTGGAACCAGTCGCAAGCCAAGGCCAGCAAGACGCAGAACAATAACTTAAAAATATTTTACATTTGAAAAAAATTAAAAAAAAAAATAGGAATAAAAAAATGTAAGCAACAATAATCATAGTTAATAACTTAAGATTAACGGTAGGGCCATCAAACAGGCAGTGTGGCGCCATCTAGTGGCACCCGAATCGGTGGAGCGCCGGTTGCGACTGCCGCCCGATGATGCAACAGAGGCGCATCTACAGCATCCAATCCACCCAGTGGTGGATATTTGCCGGAGGTGCCACCGGCTGCCTCGCGCTCGTGTGCCATGTTATCGTTGATGTCGTTGTCGTGGGCGGGATCGTTGGGAAACTCGCTGGCCAAATGGTAGATGACCTTCTGGAACAGAAACTCCGATAGGTTGGTCCGCAAGAAGAACAGAAACATCCAGTTGGAAAAGTTACACTTCTCAATAACCGCTTTCAGATCTGACTCATCCATCTTGCCAGGCTTGGCCCAATACAGCGACAGTCGAGTGAAGGTGACGCTGGAAAGGCAAGGCATTATTTAAACGATATGCATAAGATCTAAAGAAAAAGGATTTTCAGTTATATTAAATTGATATATACAATAAATCTAGATGGAACTCGAATGGCTGGCCAGTGAAGGATAAGGTTGGAAATCTATGAATTTATTTGCTTTGAACTCTGGAATTCTTGGGGTCTTAGATCCTTAGACCCTTAAGCATTTAGACCCTTAGACCCATACTTTATATAAGAGTTAGCTGAGCTTTAGTTTATGGAATATGTCTGAGGCAATACACTCAGATAGATGAAAGGCGTAGCTAAATTTCTGTTTGATCAAAGATCTGTAGGAAAGATCGAAGGAGCATCAAGACTCATGCTTGCAGTGTAAAGTCTTTCAAATGTCTAGGAAGCATGAAGTTTGACACAGAGAAACTGAAAGAGAGCAGTAGCTAGGCCTAAGAAATCTAAACTGTCCTATAGCCTAGCGGGAAGACTGAGATATAGCGAGAGAGAGAGACCAAAGTTGTCAGACATACTTTTTATAGAAGAAGAGCGTTAGGAGTCGCCAGAAAAGACCCAGCAAGGTAACGATCAATAGAAAGGAAAACCAGAACCAGAGTATAGTGTAGATCTTCTCATTCATGATGTTGAGGGCCATCACACAGAGCGTATCGTGCTCCTGCAGTGAGCCGGCTGCACCGTATTTGAAGAAGGTACATTTGGTGACCTTGGGGAAGACAACATCGAGTGCATCCATTTTGTCGACCCAACGCTCGTTGAGCACCTTAATGCCTAGTGTTAGGAACTGACGACCCAGAAAGCGATTGGTCCAATAGATCTGACAGCACAGATTCAGCAAGTTTAGTATTTCAGTTGCCACTAGATGTGCGCCCCACGACTGATTCAAGCGCATGCGATCGATCATCGTGCGTCGTATGTTGATCACACGATCCTCGACCTCGGTCATCGAGGGTATATTCAGCTTGCCAATGCGCAGGCTGTCGCTCTTTAGATATTTGGTCAAGCCGACCATGCGCAGGCCGTAGACCAGCGCCTTGATCCGTCCGCCCTCCCAGTACTTCCAGAGCGCATGCGGCGCGTAAAAGCAAAGGGCCTGCGCGAACAGCACGAAGGGCACCCATTGATAGTAGGCATGTCGCTTGATCTTGTCCTCGTTGCGATTGTAGGGCCCAATGCCGGGCTGGAAAATGGAGCCAGAGTCCAGAGCCGAATTGTTCATGTGACGCACCTGTGAAACGAAAAGGATTACTGATGAGTTTGATTGACTGAAGAGGTTTATTTAGCCTCGATTGATTGACGTCAACTTAAAGTCTAGAGTAAGCTTGTGCTATGTGTGTCATGGGTAAAATGTGAAGAGATAAGGTATCTATGAAGAAATTATACTTGAACACAATTCATATATTTAGTTGTGGGGCTAAATAACAAGCTGTTTGATTGACTGATTGATCATATTGATTGATTAACCATAGTATAAAGAGGTAGCGGCAACTGTGTTTAGATTTCGAGTGTAATTTTTAGAATAGAATTTGAAATAATTGAACTGGTTGATTGATTGATTGATTGACTATGATCTATAGTGAGTTTAAGTAGCAGAGACTTAACTTGACAGATAAAGTTGTTAAAGAAAACATTAAATGAAAATAGTTGCTGCTATTGTGATTGAGTGAAAATATATAAATGATTGATTGATTGATCAGTCTGTAATAGGCAAAAAAAAAAGCAAAAGATATGTCAACAGCTAAAGGTAGCTGAGGTAACATTTTTTTAGACATTTTGCTGATGATTGATTGACTGATTGATTGATTGTAAACAAAATCAGACATTTGCTTGCTTGATTGATTGACTTGTGTATATTTATATATAGTTTGACCAAGATGAAAATTTGGCCCTCAAGATAGCAGAGCGAAAATATTGTGTTATAGTCAAAGCAGTAAAGAAAGGATTGATTGATTGACTTGCTCGATTATAACACTAAGTTAACACACTGCTAGCTCAACTTTATACAGTTTTCAGGTAACAAATCTTTGAACACATTATTTACCACTGTGAACGTGGGCGTAAAGAAGCAAAAGGTATTTATAACGGGGGCGACCACATTATCGGATATACACTGTATATGCTCGCCGATGTATTGACGTGACGTTATCAACAGGGTTGCCACCAGCAGCAAGACGAAGGTCCAGCGATAATGGAGTTTAAACACAATGTTATCGATAACAACGCGCGTTATATCGAACTTGAGATATTGCTTGACCGAACTGAACGTGCCCAACATAATGTCGACCAAAAGCCAAACCTATATAGCACTCAAAATATATATATATGTATATATATAAATGTATATAAATAATTTTCTATTAATTATATTTTTTGTTTTTTTTTTTTTATATTTGGTATTTTTCCGCGCGAGCAGCTCCACGTAACGTTGCTGTTGACCGCGCACTGCAGGCCTATGGAATTCTAACACTAAGTCCGTCGATCGAGCTGGCGAGCAGCGCTTATCAACAACCCCGCCTCCTGGATAAAACCTATAGGGTAGGGGGCGTGGATTTCGCCCTGAGCGATTGCTAGACCTCTCGAAAAACGCCAAAAGCTCTTGCGATAAGATAAGTTTAGCTCGAAGAATTGAAGAGTTTGAGTTTTTTTGTTCTCCGTTGAAAATAGGAAATCAGAGTATAATGGGGTTTGTGCACATGTATGTAACAATATGTATGAGTATTTGGGCATTCGTCAAAGGGTTCTATAATGAAAAAGTTCATGTTTATTAGTGAATTATTTTGCTTTCTTCATTTTTTGAGTTTGTCGGCCAAATGTTTTTTTTTTTTTTCATTAATCTTTGATACCGTGGCTGAGATAGACAATTGGTTTATCAGCAGCCGATTTACGTGATATACTGGTATGTATGATGACTGTGTTATCCGATAATAGCCTGGCATTTAGAGCGGCCCCAAATATTTAAGAATATTGCGGCAGGTGAGCCCACTCAACGGAGTCTATTATGCGGCAAACCGATTGAGTCAAGGCACTCGCAATCAGAGTTAGCTAAAAGTAAAGTTTCTTTCCATCTTTCCATCTCTACATGGCTACGGAGCTTTTGGCCATTTTGCGCTGCTTGCCTAGTGCTTCTTCATGACTCCATTCATTGCTTATCTCACTGATAATATATTCATATAGAATCTCAACTGTTTCATCTCTATTTTTAAACAGTTATCTCTATTTGTATCTGCTTATCATGCTCCACATTCACTGACTAAAAGACGTTTTGAGGAGCTAGCAAAAGAGGGCGAGGCTCACCCTCAGCTAATGAGCTTTTATTTAAAATTTATGATTTCATAGTTTTATCTAATCATATTTCTGACTGTAACTGTATAAATATTCAAACAGAAGTTTATTACAGTTACTTATCTATTCATGAATTTATCTCTGCTGTAATTAAATTATATATACTATGTAAATTAACTATTTATGTTATTCTACTACTTGCAGCGCGACTATTTTTGTGAATACTCCATATTAAAAGCATCTCTCTGAAATAGTCAACAACAAATGAATTGTGACCAAAAGTAATGGGTATTTTTTACAGTTATGTTACATGTATTCTAATTTAAGCTAAAACTGGTTATATTTTATTAATGTTCATATTTATCAAAGGATTCAGTTCCTTTACATTTGGTTTACGCTTGGCGCAGTGCAGCACTACTATTTTTGTGAACAGAGCTGTGCATCCGATATCTATGCATCCCATAAGTTTCATCCATTAGATGCAAAGGTTTTCTTCTCTATTCTCAGCTTGCTCATATGTCTCTGATATATGTATCTACATATTTATGTGTCTATCCAATCATCTTGTATAGATAGATAGTTAAAAAGACAATAAATTATAGCTGAAGATACATATGCTCAATGCATATGTATCTTTAGCTATCTTCTATTAAAAATTTGTATCTTAATTGTATCTTTAGCTCATGTCTGAAACTCTATGATGAATTTGTAACTGTATCTTTATCTATGACAGCTCGTATCTTTGCCTTGTAACAAAAAGTGTAGATAGCAATTGTATCTGCATCTTTTTCAAATGTATCTGTATCTTGTGTGCGGGACCCTACGCTACAGTAAGCGTATCTTTTGCTAGACTCTTGTATCTTTGGTAAGTCAAATTGATTTCCCAACAATCATAACATGTATTCCTGTAGCCCGTACTAAGGCTTAACTTGTAACACTTGTAAATAAAACATTTTGCAGGCAGTTCATAGGGCTATCTAAATTACTGCGGCACTTCGGATAACATTAACATTTTCGAAGATTGGTCAGGGCATGGTGCGACTGTTTGGCAAGTGCAGAGCAGTCTCTTAATAACTTGTATATTTTTAGTTAAATGTCTGGGCGCACGATTGGTCGGTTGTCACGTCGACAGGCGGACTGATTGCAATGCGACAAAGTTCATTGATTCAATCGCATTTCATAACACTCACATATAATTACCTACCTCTCTCTCTCTCTCTCTCTCTCTCTCTCTCTCTCTATCACTGTTTTTGTTGCTCCTTCTTTGTCTTTGTTGCAATTGGATTGCATTACAGGCGAAATTTGAATACGCTGCGCTACCACAAAGGCAAACGAAATGCGAACCATTCATGCAAGGCGCACACGAAATGTCGAAATCATAAAAGGTTTTAAGTATATATATATATACATGTGTGTGTGCATGTAAAAAAAAGTCGCACCTCATTTGAAGATACAATTACAACTAACTTAACGAGCGTAGAGAATGCGTTCCCTTCATTTGCAACTGTTGCAACAAGTTCTGCTGAAAAAGTGAAAGTGATTTCGCCAGTCAACCAAATATTTGCGCCATCAGCCGCTAACGCGAACAGCTGTTGCCGACTGTCCAATAATCTCAGTGGACGAACTTCCGATTTTCTTCTGTTGCCACAACTTGTATAACAGCTACGTTAACTGTAACATAACAGTATGTTAGTACAGATCAAAAATTACAGGGTATAAGCAACAATTCACTTGCAGTGCAGCAGCTGATCATCTAAAGCATATTTCCTACAAATATTCACTGTGATTCGACTTCTGCCTTTTAGAACCCTGATTTGAGTACTTTCATATACGTGATTCAGTTCTATTCCCGTAATATAAAAGCTTGGCAATACATAAAAATGGAAACTGACTCAAGTTTCAATCGATTAATGTTTTCGGCGTACGAGCTAAATCGCCACTTCCACGAAGGAACTGAAATGAACTGATAACTTTTCTAACTTGGCATAGATTAAGAGTTTTTTTTCGTTGAATTTTTGTGTCATGACGCTGTGAATAAATTCGTATTCTTTTAGTGCAACTCGAAACTGCGGATGTTTTAATTTTTTAAATGTTTAGTAAAAGATTGCAAGATTTGCAAAAATTATAGCATGCGAGAAGCTTATCATGCTCACTATAGACAACTCTCTAGACTTGTATTCAAGTATACTCTACTTAACTATATATTCAGATTCTATACTACGCCATACCCTATACTATACTAGCAGAGTATATGCTCTATATTATATTAAGCTATTCCCCATACTATACTATAATATACCCTATACTATACTAAAATATATTCTATATATAGTATACTTTATTATACACTATACTATGCTGTACTACACCCTATACTACATTCTGCTATACCCTATATTATACTATACTATACCCTATACTATACTATAAGAAGTTCTCTAGCTTGAATTGGATAGACGCGTGTCAGCTCTGCTGCTGAGATGCTTAGAGCGTAAGCCCTATTAACCCCAACGAAGCTAACTCACAAGCCGGCAGTCTCGTCAATGCCAACTTCAGATGCAAAACTATCAATTATATAGCTCTACGTACATGGCAGGCATAGGAAATCGTGAAAATTCTATTGCTGCAAATGATTTATTGACGCTGACCTCTGGAGAGCGTGGAAGCTCAAAAAGATGACGAATGAAGAACAAAAGCCCCATACAAATGAATACCTAATAAACAATTTTATTTGCATTTATATTTAAAAATAAAAAATAAGATATTTTAAAATTTATAAACAATTTTAAATTATTTTCTTTACTAAATAATTATTTTATTACTAGTTATAATTAGGCAAATTTTTTGTCTCTTTTAATGATCATATTTAATAAAAATTCATCATAAAAAATTTCTAATTTACTTAAAAATTTTTTTCGTTCTATTATTATAAAAAAAAATTTATTTGTTATAAAAAAGTTTTATTTTTTTTTTAATTGTTAATTCGTCATAAAAAATCATTTTTAGTATCAGTTTAATTTATTTTATTTTTTACTGGTTTTTTTTTACAATCTCAAACGCAACACCTATTATCAGTTGGCATATAAGACTGGGGAATCAAGAACTTAGAGGTGTGCGTCTTATTGTTAGGTTTTTTTTCGTTAGATAATTTAACGAATCATAAGCTATTCATGTGGATTATTCATTCAGGCGATTTGCATGCGTTACCGTTATGATGTCATCAAATGTAATCAATTCTCTTAGCCCATATTTGTTGGTAGTTGGGTAAGTGGGAAACGTAACCGTTACGCTTGATAAAGTCGTGCGGCCTGGCCCTTTGATCGGAGGCGCCGAGCAATTGGAAAGCCAATGAAAAAGTGCCGCAACCTGAGCCCAGTTGATTGGTTAAGCAACGTTTCATATAAACGCGATATGTTATTAACTTCCCTATATCTCTTTTGGCCAACTGGCTTATCTTGCATCTCGGCCAGCTGCTATGGTTGACTCAATTGAAGCAGTCCAAAATAAATGTAGTTCCAAAAAATCCCAACAGCAAGTCAACATTGAGTGCTGTCTCACGATTGCCTAGCCAACTATGACGGTGGTGAGCAGTTCGGCGAATTCGCAATGAGTAAGCGATCAAAATTCGTGGAGCATCGTTAAGCCCCCTCCCGCTAGCCCCCATCTAACGATTCCATCGAGAAATCAATTCATGTTGAGTGTTAGCATGTGCTGGAAACGCAATCTCAGCGAGGCGACACGTAAATACATATGGGAATGCGTGATTGACTGGGCTTTACTGTGGCTGTGACGGTGAGCTACCCTGTACATGCTGAGGGCTGTCTATGGTCTACTATGTGCTTAGGTCTACTGAAGCCACATCAGCTAGCTTCAGTACTTGTGGCTACTGAGTTCACTGAGTCTATTCAGTAATATGTAAAAGTTATTTTATTAAAGCTAAAATAAGTATTGCTTATGGGCCTCTAGGAAGTTACATACCAAATTTGCAGGCTCCAACGCTTATAGTTCTTGAGTTCAGTGGGTCCACTAAATTTAATATATTACCAAAAAAATATATTTCTAGATCGTTATACGAAGCTACATACTAAATATTCAAGCTCCAGCTCCAATAGCTCTTGAGTTTAGCCACAAAACTCTCAACTCTAGATCAAAGACAGATATGACGAACTTGTTACAGATATTCCAAGTAAAAGTAGCTAAATAAATGTTAAAAGTATAATTATCAGTCTTGAGGGGTTTTATGCGAGTCATGGGCGCATAAAGAAATCGCTCAATTTCTAGGGTATAACTGTAAATAAATGCTATAGCAATAGTATTAAATGCTCGATTCCTCAAGATCTTTGGCAAATCGAATAAATATTTATGCTACGGCTCAAGCTTCTCTCTTATCTTTTGCGTAAGGCGAGTCGAGCCGATTCGAGTGGAGTCGACGCGAGTTGAGTTGAGTCGAGTCGAGTCGAGTCGAATCTGAGTCAAAGACGAACATGCCGCAAGACAAGACAAGACAAGACAAGGCTCACGCAAATTGAGTCGTTCGCGAGGCGTTGATTTGATTTATGCCAAAATAGACGCATGGCTGCCACGCCCACGCCGCCTACAATCAAATCTAATGGATTTATGACCGTGCGATCTATAGTAGGCGTCAATAATTAAAACATATTTATGTTAAGTATTTGACCGGCTAACGGGCTAACGTATTATTAATCGTTAGCATATCAATAAATGAATAAAGAGCAAACACGTTGATTGAATCGACGTCTAATGGGCTTATTTCCTAAGTCTAAGCACAGACTGTGAATTGGGAATCTATATGAATCTTTATTGCCGGACTTCTACAACATCTGAGTCCAATTTAGATATTTTTTTGGCATTTCTAGTATTATCTTCTCTGAAGCTATAGAGCCAGCTAGTTAGAGTCGCACGACTAAGTAGATATCAGTTCAACTCAATGCCAATTTGCATATAAAGATAATTGAGTCACTTGAGCGTTAATATATATTTTGACTGCGCTGGGTAGACTGCTTAAGATTTGTTATAAATGAGATATATATTATATATTACAAAATACGTGTCTGAAATTTTATAACCAAGCTGAAAGTTTCCACATTTTTTTATATGTGTCTGTGCTTCACTGAAATTTCTTTCCTATTTCACTTTTGTCTTAAAGGCAACCTAATCTAAACGGAAATACATTAAAATACTTTCTCAGGGCTATGGACGATAAGGAACTGCGAGTATTTTAGGGTAATAATGAGTTATAGAATATGGCTGCGGGGAATGCTTAAGGGAATATTTATTATATTTTAGCTCAAGGCTTGGCCAGGTAGGTCGAGTGGCTGATGGTAAGCCAGCTTTGCTTTGAGCTGTTGTCACATTTTGTATGTATATCAGTCATCCTTGTAATAAAGCTATATAATAATATAGAAATCATATAATAATATAGAGATTTTAATTAATTTTTGTAATATTTAAAGCAACAAAATTAAATAAAAGCCAAACAGTTTTATGACATTTCAAGGCACAATTGATATATATATATATATATATATATATATATATGTGTGTAATTCCCTTGGGTCTTGCAGCGATTTCTAGTAATTAAATTTTTTCAGCTGTAAACTCTTTGCTATAGTGTTATGAAACGGATCTGAGCTGATAGAACACTTCAGATGTTATGAACACTTATAATGAGCCGATTAGATTTGGAAAACAACAGAGAGAAAGAGAGAGAGAGAGCAGTATATATATATAATTTTTAGGCATTATAATTTATAATTATGATAGTAACAATCATAAGGTAATGCGGCTCGGCGTGTCATAAATGGAGCTCAGTCTAAAGATTAAGTAGGTAGTCCAGCCGGTTTGCACCAATGCTACAAGTATACACACACACACATATATATATATATATGTGTATATGTGTTGAGTGGTTTTTTATGTTATCTGAGGGCAACGAGGGAATTGCGAGCGAGGAAAATCCATTGATTGAGCGCTTAAACGATGGCATAGATTGAAAGCATAACGAAAGGTAGGAGACCCACGTGAACACACAGCTGCAGTGCGGTGCAGTGCCACAGGTAGTTGGGCAGGTAAGGGAAATGTAATTACCGCTTATTATCAGGCAGGTAAATAACAATGCAAAGAACAAACAGCGCGGCCAGTGAAAGCAGTTGTCGATAATAAAATGAAGACCGAAAAAGCAAATTTCTGTCTGCTTCTTCGGACCCGCACGCACACAAATGCCAACACACACGCTTTGTGCAGATGCAGATACATTCGTATGTGTATCTGTGTCTGTGTGTGTGTGTGTGTATATCTATGTATCTGGCAGTAACTTGTTTCTCGTTGCATTGTTGCAGCGCGCGTGGAGCTGGAGATGCTTTATTCAGCTCAATTGACGAGTTCCGAGAACTTCGTCGTCTACTTTGTCTGCTTCTGCTTCTTCTTCTACCTTGTCTTCTTTGTGAAGCGTTACACATATATACATACATACATGGCTAGATGCATAAACAGACACACACATGTGCACTTGAGCGGCATGCGGCTTAGTTGCAGCCCAGCGTTGCCAGACTCGCGTTGTTGCATATGTATTTGCATTTCACACTCTTCGCTTCTTGCTTCTTGCTTCTTCACCTTCATCTGCACAGCTTGAACAAGTTTTGCTGCTTAGGCATTGCCAGACTGCTGTCAGGTGAGGCAGGCTGAACTCTTGCTTACGCACATAAATTTGGCATTCGTTTCTGTCTTATTTTACTGCTGTTCTGTTTCAACAAGTTTCTTTTAAGCGTTGCCAGACTGTCGTCAAGTCAAGTCATCATTTTTTATTAAATTGCTGTCTTGTTTCTTATCTTAGTGTCCTTATTACATCCCTTTCACTTAAGCGTTGCCAATCTACTGCAAAATTAATGTTGCCAGACTGCTTTCATTCCCTAAATTTGCATATCCTGGCTAATCATAGGCTTCCCTTGATAAAAACAAGGTTGCCAGACTGCTTACAATTTTGAGTTAGTTATTTAGATCCATTGTAAGAGCAGTCAAACTAACATAAGTCGATTTTTTGAGTTAACATCAGAAGCTAGGCACAGTTAAATTTCGCTCAGTGCTGCCAGATTGCTTGAACTTTGGGTTAACAGTATTATGCCTGTCGTTTAAGTCAATATATATGCGTTTTAGCCACAGATGCACACAGCGTTGCCAGACTGTCAATATTTCCGCATACACATAATTATTTTCTAGATTTTCTTTTATTTCATTATTTCCTATATTCACATGTAAGTGTTTTTTTACCATTCTTAGGCTTAACGAAATTCTATATTCTTTAGACTTTTCCAATTAATCAATTATCAATTTTTACTATTTGTAACTGCATTTGTCAGCTGCAATGGCTGCTGGAAGTTTTGGAAATACCCTATTAGCTGATCTTTGTGTAGATATATAGGATTTGAGTGCGGCAGCAGCGTTGCCAGATGTGCAGCTGGTAGGCAAAAGTATAAACGCAATTGCAGTTAAACAGCAATTGCCATGTTTACAAACACACACACACGCACACTCCAGGTAAGTGCGTGTCTTGGCCAAATTGAAGCTGGCTTAAGAAAATGGCGACATTTCAGCATCAGTAGCATCTCTGAGTCATGCTCTGTCCCCCCTCTACACACCTTCTCTCTGTCTCTCTCTCTCTCGCTCTCTGTGTTTCCCCCACTCTGCCACTTGACCCCGCTGCTGCCCTAACTAACCCCCAACATACTCTGCCACTGTATGTGTGTGTCCGCGCGTGTGTGTGTTACCAACTCAAGAGACGCGCGTCTCAGCTTCTAGTTAGCGCTTGAGTCTCGGCTGCGCGGACTACACTAAATCATGTTTATGGGCAACAGTTTGCGCTCTCCCAACAGCAGCATAAAACCAGAGTGCACGTATTAGCTATGAGTGGTTACAAGTATACCCTGTACACAACAAATATGTTACATATTTAACACGAATATTAACATAAAATGTTCTAATATATATGTATATATGTATATATAAAATAGATATGTATGTATACACATTTAGCACTTATGCTGTAGATAACTGTTTTCATTTGCCTGCTACATAAGCCACTAATATGCCCACACTTTTTAGAGCACTGCGCGTTAATATAAGAAACAGGTATGACTGCAGACACAAACACAGAGGAGACTGTATGCATACATATGTAAATATGTGTGTGTGTGCAGCTGTGCTTGTGGCTGCATACATGTGTATGTGTGCACTCAAGACGTGCACTCAACAAGATCCACCCAAAGAATAGCAACATATTTTACCTGGTACAACTCAGCTCGCTTTCTCGCTCTGCCACTGACTCTCTCTGCATTACGCTCTATGTGTGCGTCGCTCACTCACTTACTGACAAACGACTCAAGCTTGGCTGCTCTTGCACTTTCGCTCTCCCTCTCTGCTGAAGTGCTGGAGTGCTTGCCCAGCTCGCTCGCGTTTTCACAGTTTGACTGTTGCGCGCTCTCTCTCAGCAGTCGTGTCACTCGGGTTTGCTCAGTTGAAATTTTCTATTCGAAGAGTGCGCTTAGTGGTAGCTGCTGCGACGGCGTTTCAAATATATACAGTACCAAATACACACGACTGTCGATTGTACTACGTTATTTTTTTTTTGTATTTCGTTGTTTTTTTTTTTTGTGTCGGCGCAACAACAACAGTCGCTCTTTCTCTGTGACTTCTTCATTTCTGTTGTGTGTGTGTGTGTATGCGTGCGTTCGTGTGAGGAGCGTCAACTCAAATACACTCGAGGAAATTTTTTCAGATCAGTTCAGCGCACGGAGCAGCGGCGAGTTGAGCCTCCCACGAAACAGTTCGACGGCTCAGTACGGCTCGCCCGATGTGCATTCTCTCAAGCGTTATGTTGGACAAGTGATGTGTGAACGAGTGAACGAGCGCAGCAATAAAGCCCAATTATATATATGTGTATTTATAAACAATCAATCAATCCATCAAACAATCGGTTAATGAAGCTAACTTATTAAAAAGAAAAGGAAAATAAAAACAAAAACAATAAGAAGGAAAAAACTGCCATCCAACGACTTCAGTTCGTAGTCAGCGTCTGTCAATCAATCAATCGATCAGAGGACAAAGGATTCATCTACCAATCTGCCAGTCAATCAATCGAACAATCGACTTATCGATCAATCAAGCAACACAAAAGGAAAACCACTTCTATATCTTGCCACACTCAGCACTCGATCAATCAGTGAATCGATAACGGTAAAGTGCCAAAATGTTTGATGTATTTGGCTCCGTAAAGGGGCTGCTGAAAATCGATCAGGTGTGCATCGATAACAATGTCTTCCGGATGCATTACAAGGCAACGGTGATCATACTGATCGCCTTTTCGCTACTCGTCACATCTCGCCAGTATATCGGAGATCCGATCGATTGCATTGTGGACGAAATACCGCTTGGCGTGATGGACACCTATTGCTGGATCTATTCGACGTTCACGGTGCCCGAGCGCCTAACGGGTGTCGTTGGCCATGATGTCGCCTCGCCAGGCGTCGGCTCCCATGTCGATGGCGAGGACAAAGTCAGATATCACAAGTATTATCAATGGGTCTGCTTTGTGCTCTTCTTCCAAGCGATTCTATTCTATGTGCCGCGCTATCTCTGGAAGTCATGGGAAGGCGGCAGATTGAAGATGCTGGTGATGGACCTCAACAGCCCCATTGTGAATGATCAGTGCAAAACCGATCGCAAGAAGATATTGGTCGAATACTTCATGGGCAATCTGAACCGTCACAATTTCTACGCCTTTCGGTTCTTCGTCTGCGAAGCTCTCAATTTCGTCAACGTCATTGCGCAGATCTATTTCGTGGACTTCTTTCTGGATGGCGAGTTCAGTACGTATGGCAGCGATGTCTTGAAGTTTACCGAAATGGAGCCCGACGATCGTATCGATCCAATGGCCAAAGTCTTTCCAAAGGTCACCAAATGTACATTCCACAAATATGGTCCATCGGGTGGCGTTCAGAAGTTCGACGGACTCTGCGTGCTCCCATTGAACATTGTCAATGAGAAGATCTATGTGTTCCTTTGGTTCTGGTTCATCATTCTGAGCATCTTATCGGGCATTTCGTTGGTCTATCGCATTGCCGTTGTCATGGGACCCAAACTGAGGCATTTGCTGTTGCGCGCCCGTTCCCGCTTGGCTGAGAGCGAGGAGGTGGAGAAGGTGGCCAACAGGTGCAACATCGGTGATTGGTTCTTGCTCTATCAGCTGGGCAAGAACATCGACCCATTGATCTATAAGGAGGTGATCGCTGATCTATATCGTGCAATGGGCGGCGATATTCAAAGTCCACAAAAGCAGCGTTTCGAGGCTTAAGCGCGCGAGTAAGAGGGCGAGACGGAGACGAAGAGAGAGTGAGCGAGAGAAAGAGAGGGAGGGAGGGAGGTAGAGAGAGAGAGAGCGAGCAAGCGGGAGAGAGAGAGAGAACGCGGGAGAGAGGAGTCGAATTTGGGACAAGGAGTCGGAGCTGGGAGTCGGAGTTGGAGCTGGAGTCAGTGTCGACATCTGGGCCGCCCTGTGCTATCAGTGGCAGCGCGTCAGCGATTGTAAGTATAACTTATAAATACCAATTTCCCCTGCCCAAACTCTGCCCAATCAATGCACACACACGCGCATAAAATTCCCCTTCTACCGTCTCTCCAATCAAAGTACATACATAAACTTTCAGCAGCTAAGAAACTGTAAATCACTTACAAAGCGAGCGAATGACCGAGAGAGAGTGAGAGAGAGAGAGAGAGAGAGAGAGCGTGAGAGAGAGAGAGAGAGAGCGAGCGAGAGCGTCCACTCCAAATTTTTAACAATCAAAGCAATCTTTCCTCTACGCTAAGCAGTTACATATATAGAGTTCTCACAATTGGCATTATAATTTTGGTTGAATGCGCTGCTCTTTTTGTGCTTTATTGTTATAAATAAATAAATTTTTATTTATAAGAGTAGCAAAAATAATCAAAGTGTCAACATAAACAAGCTCAGCTAACATACTCAAAATCTTTAACAGAGCACGAGTGCTCAGATTTGTTACTGCTGTTAGCTACAGTTGCCTGTAAATAGCAGAGCCACGCGCTTTTAACAGCAGCTCAAAACGCGCGCTCTGTACACAAGATTTCATAGAGAGCGAAGGAGAGAGAGTGTGAGCAGAGCGGAGAGTGGAGAGCGGAGAGCACACACGCACTGCTGATCTTACGCGCTCATTTAAGCGTAACCCAAGCAGCCTCAAGTCAACGCTTGCGCAAGCGAGATAAACGCACAGACAGCGGCGCATGCGCAGCTAGGCAGCTAGAGCAGCGTATGTCCGTCCCGCTTGCGCCTCAAACTACATTCCAGACTTCAAAGTGGTTCTACTTTTCTTATGGTTTTCTCTTTTGCTGAATCTGCATGCAAACTGGTTTGACCAGCCAAAGGCAGAGGCATGACATCGATGGAGGCTAGTGGGGAGCAGCCGGCGCAAGTTCAGGGCGATTGCGAGGGCGCATTTGCCAACAAGACAAATGTTCTTCGGTAAAGAAGAAATCCGTCTGCTAATTAAGAGACACTTTTTAAAAGATAACCGTGTGATGCCACAGACACAGCAAGAGACAAGGAGTCAGAGACAGAGAGAGAGAGAGAGACAGAAATATATTTGATTGGATTACGACTAGCTGTATACCCTGTGAAGTTATATATATCATTATTATTATATATTATATTATACATATTATAATAATTTTTATGGGAAATACTAAACGATTTTATTTGTTTAACTATTCATATATTTTACCTTATTTGACCTCAAGTAACTCGGCTATTATAAGAGCAGCGAAAAGCGACAGGCATATAAATTTACCTCAATGACATGTCCACTGAAATCGAGACATTAGCAACCATAATAATCTCATTGAACTCGGAAACTATTCGAGCCAAAACTCTGAAATTGGGTATGTGGGCTCATATAGACAAGTTTTGATAAATTACAGAAATTTATGTCAGCAAAAAACTGCAGATTTGGTTAAGCGATATAAGCGTATAGAAATAGATATGTATGTCACAGCACTTCAAACTGTCGCGCTATGCTTTATATTATACCAAATAGCATTGGAAAAATGCCAGTCAAACTATTCAATTGATATTTTTGTAATCAGTTTATCATGTCGTTTGTCTCATTCTTTTTCCTCGACTGTTGGTTTTTGTGTTCTTATTCCTTTTGTTTCTCTTTTTTTCGACTCGCATTTATGTATTCTATGCGCGTACATACAACGCCAATTAGAAGTTAGGTAACATGTTGCCCAAGCCCTCCTTATCTTATCATAGTCGCCCATGCACCATCCCACCACCCTCCCCCCTCTATTCCACTCTCTGGCGTCGATAAGACCGAAACCAAAATGATGCTGATGGTTTACCACATTTTAAGTGGTAAAGTGTTGCAATTAGCACACATTTACCCCATCGCACGATCACTCAAACACACACACACGTGGACATGCGCGTAATTTACAATTAATGCAAGTGAAAAATGTTAGAGAACTGTGATGGACTAGTGGCTACTCTGTAGAAGACGTTGACGAATTCTTCGACTCATAAAAAGCTTTAGCTCAGACCACGTGTTGCATTGAGCTTAAAACCGTAAACCCTTTAAAGTATAGCTCGCTTTTATATTTACAGGGCTAAGGAAATGATTGCTTATCTGAGGTCGAAAAATTTGTGCTATTGATATACATATGTGTATACATATATATGTGTATAGCTCGGAGGTCTATAACTATAAGTACAGTTATTTAGCATCGTAATGATCGCCACTTGTTTATTTATGAATGAAAAGTCAATTCAATGTGAAAAGGCAAAAAGGCGGGGGAGGCGACCTTAACAAAAAAAAAAATCGTTCGACACGCGAAAAAAAAAAAACAAAAATGAGAAGCGCATATAGAGGCTGAATAGATAGTTGCTATTGTTATTAATTCTGTTTTATTTCTGTTGTTGTTGCACGCATATTCACATATTCGTCTCAGAGCCACAAAATGTTTCTGTTCCTTAGAATTTTTAATTGCATTAATTACTTTCAATTAGCCAAAAGACGGCCGCGCACAGAACCCAGATAATTGCCATTAATAATGGTGTCAAAGTTTAGCAATCGAAATATGTATATAACAACAAGAACAGCAGCAGCAGCAGCAGCCGCAAGTAGTGGTCGCCTCACACATTACGTATACGCGGCTTCTGTTTTAATGCGCATACGCCTCGTTTGACCCCAAAAGCAAAGAGGCCAAAGCAAGCGAAAATCTATACAAATTTTAATAAATGCTAAATTGTTTTATATAAAATACAAAATATTTAATGAAAAAAAAAAATACAAAAAAAATGTTTCATTTAAATTTTATTTTTTATGCAAATTTTGTTTGTCGAGTTTTATATATATATATGTATTTTATTTATATATATATATATATATATATATATATATATATATATATAAAATAATTTGATTTTATTATAAATTTATTTGCTAACACCAAGCAGCAACAAATCAATTAAAAACAAACTTGTTTTTGTGTAGATTTATGATCCAAAGAAGCAGACATAAAATAAATCCCCAAATTCAAGTTTTATTGCATTCGCAATTTTATTTATAGCTCTAAAAAAGCTACAAAAATATAAAAATAAATATTTATTTGTTTTTTTTATAACGAACATATTAAACAAATATTTATTTCTATTTATTAGTTCAACTTTTTTTAATTTTATATATTTAAAAAGAGAAAAAAACTTTTAATTAACAAAATGTTTATTAATGAGAAAATTTACTTCTTAAAAGCTTTTTTTATTGAATACATTTAGGAAAGTTTCCTATTCTATGTACATTGCGGTCTCTGTGCGTGTGTGTGTCTGTCTGTCTCTGTGTTTTTGTCTGTCTCACGTTCAATTCAGCTGAATTCATGAATTGCTCATCCGCAACTTTTGCCCTTAAATATTTTGTACACATTTATTCAATTAATTTGTAATTCTCTATCTTCCTCTCGCGCACAGTTGCACGCAGCCAAACTGAAGGATGAATAATGAAAAGAGGGCGTGCCCCTTTAAGCTAAACAAAGTAAACAATTCGCACATACACACACGCTTGCATACACATATCAACGAATTGCGCTTGTGTTTCACGTGTTTTCATGGATTCCAAAACACGTGAAAACCAATGCAAGAAGAAGAAGAACAAGAAGCAGTCCACAATACCAGCCAGAACCCAACTCCGATGCAAACGACAATCAGAAAATGTTCAAAATTAAAATAAAAAAAAAAAATAAGAAAAAAAAGACAAGCTACAGATCGAACTATATATATCTCCAGATATATATAGAGTGAGCTATAGATCAACAGTTAAAAGACGCAGCATAAAAGACAACAACAACAACAAAGTGCAAGCATTTTTTTATACGCCAATTGGAAAGCGAGTTGAATGAAATATTTTTTATAAAACATAAACTACATATATACACTACTATACAGACATATATATATATATATATATATATATATATATATATATATATATATATATATATATATATATATATATGATGCAAATGCCACATGCGATTAATATTTATGCTAAGAGTTGTGATCATTGATTAAGCAGTTTATAAAATTTATAAACAAATTTAAACAAAAAAATGCAAAATAAAATTTAAAATAAAAATGGCAATAATAATAAGCACAACAACAACAACAACTATGAAAAACAAATGCAACAATAATGATTAATATTACCAGATAATTATGAATATATAAATATTATATTAACAATTTTTCGCGCCTATTAAAATTTACATAATTATATAAATATATATAAATAAAATTTTAAATATTTTTTTTTTTTAATTTTACACATATTTTTTGTAGCAATTTTTTCGCCAGCAATTTTTTTGTCATATAAATATATCAATTTTTTTGTAGCATTTATTTTATTAGCTTTTAGAACATTTTAGTTTAGCGCAATTTTTTTTAAATTGAAATACTTGAAGAGAAAACGCATGAAAATATTCAAATACAAATAATATTTATACTAAAATTTTGTAAGCAGAAAAACATATTTTTAGTTATACGAAAGACTCAAAAGCAATATTAAAAACAAATACAAAACAAAAAAAAAAAAAAAAAAAAATAAAAGCAAAAACATACAAACGAAGAATTTTAATAACAATAATGCAAATTAAAATATAAACATGAAAAAAATAAATAAATAAACATTAACAGCTGAAAATTGTATTGCAGCAATTTTTTGTTGCTTAATTTTTTCTCAAATATATATATATATATATATATTTATATATATATATTTTCTATATATATATATAGATGTGTGTGAAGAAAAAACTATGTAAGTGCGCACATTTACAAGCCAGCTTGATATAGTATATATATTTTT